TAAAACAATTGTGCCATAAGATCATTGCAGACCCAACGACTCCCAAACTAAGCGCGGCGTACATTCGAGCATTACAACTTGCCTCTTCGGTTTTTTGTCCTGCGGGATGCTCATTGTAAACCGTCATCATCGCCGTCAAATTACAAGTCTGGTAGAACATCACAGAAAGCGATAGGACTCTGAAGAATCTGCATGTCTCACCAGGTAGAATAGTGAAGCCATTCCACCATTCTACAGAATCTGAAATAAGAATTGTGACTTGGCAAGCGCCTTGACAAATGGCCAGTGCTCTGCAATTTTCAAGAAACGTGTACTTCGATTCGTCTTTGAAGCAAATTATCAGCATTCGGACATTGAAGAAGAGTGCAACTATATCCAGTCCTGATAACACAAAGATGGGTAACCAAGTCATTCTCGATCAGTTGCGTTTCCCCGTTGCGGGATGCAGTGAGTGGTGACTTAGAAAAGGCCTGGAAAATGTAAACAATAATGGCGAGAGGGCCTGAATGACGCCTGTCACGCACGCATATTCACCTGACACAGTTGTGTGACATTGATAACTCTTTTGCATATGATCATATTGTGGGCTAATATAAGGTGTTTAAAGTGTCTAAAATGCAAATCGCATTGTAAAGTTTTCCAGCGCCCGCTTAGGATCGAAATGTACTAGAAAATTGGAAGCCATAAACAGACGGCCTTTGTTCCCGCAACAGAGTATTGGGCTCGTGCACTAGCTTTTTTTTATTTTCTTTTTTTTTGCTCTGAGGAATGGCTAACGCTCGAAACTTCAGCTTTCAAACTCCTTACGGTAGCCAACTTACATGATCAACTGTTGATAAAACCAAATTAGCTTGATTTTTTTTTTGTTTATTTCTGTACTAAATGGTTTTTTTTACGTTCTGACGGAGGGAAAAACTCTTTTGCGGTAGCCAATTTAGTGATCAATAGTTGATAAAACCAAATTATTTGGATTTATTTTGCGCATGACACATTAAGTCATTGTTTACTCTAGTGTGGGTCTAGAGGTTGTTTTTGAACAGAAGGTGTAAACACGTGGAACGCTTTTTTGTAGTATTTCCGTTTCTGTGTTTGCTATATAGACCACAGGACATCTGAAAAGTGCCTTATGTTTTATATCATCGTTTTCAAATACTAGACAAGTACGGCAGTACTGATAAGAACCGCTGCTTTCGTAGTCTCCCCCGCAGCCGTTTTTTTTGGATGTCACGCAACGCTCCCCCAAAAGAACTTCTGGGAGAGCGTTGCGTGACATCCCAAAAAACGGCTGCGAGGGAGACTAGAGTCACGATAGATGCATCAGTGTACAAGTTACAAACACTTCCATTTGACAGCTTAGTACAGTGCCTACCATTTGTCATAAACGAGCTCCTGAAACACTGGGAAAGAGCAAAGGAAGAATTTCCCTGACTAAAATCGCTAAGGGCAAGAGAAAATAGACTCAGGAAAAGTCGAAGTCAGCGAAAAGTTCAACGTTGGCCCCAGTTTCACAGCACTATTTCTGTTTGGATGATTAATGCCACTTCTCTAATGGAAACGTGACGGTGTAACGTAACGTTTTCTGTGTCCACTTGTTTAAAAACACTCAAATATCTTGAAGTTAAAAATAGAAAGTCAAAGACTGGTATAGCTCAATTTTTGTAGCATTGAAAAGAACTAGAGGTTGTATGATAACGTTAGAAGGGGATGTTAAATTATTTGTGTCACATGCAATACGGCAAACCTTCTGCATCCCACATGTTTATGGGTACCCTGTTCTACAAGAGAAAGATGATTCAAGAATATATTGT